ACAGAGCATAATATGAACATATTATTCAAAGAAAGAAGGAAACGTGAAGGCATAAAGCTACACATTTTTACTGTATATGCTACACTGACTTTTTAACATGTTATCTGCAAATCTTAGAATGTTGAATTCTTGAGCCAGTGTCATTTTTTCTATTTGAATGTAACTGCAGAATACAGTTATGTTCAGAGATTTTTTTCTGATTCTATGAATATTACAATGCAGTTAAAACACAGTACATTTTTATGCACAGTAGATAGGATTTCATTAATTGATGGGAAGCTGGTGGGTGAGAAGAGATGTTCAATGCCCTCCTTCAAGAGAAGATGAACAATTTAGTTGCTATACCATAATAAGCAGCAGCTGACAATGTCAGAAAAAGCCTTTCATTCTCCTCCAACAGAATCTACCATTCATGCAATTGCCAAACACAACTTCATTTAGTTTGACATCCAAGTCTCTCTTCAAGGCAGACAACCTCTCTTTGCAGCTTCTCAGTGTTTCTTATCCAGGGCAAGAATGCCCCTGCACCACCCTCTGACTTTCTTCTTTCACCTCCCTCAACCTTGCCCAGGATTGTTTTGACTCATTCCAGCTTGCTTTCTTCACTAGGGTGAACTGGCTCCATGTCTGCATCTTTCCTTTCCTGAGAATGTTATCCTATCTCTAATGTTCCTGCACATCTCAGCTACCCTGAAGCTTTGAAGATAGCAAATGCTTATTGTGGAACAGGGTGGGGGGAAGAGAGAGGTCTCTACTCAGAGCTAGTTAAAGTATAGTAAATGGAATGATTTGTTCTCCTAAGTCCTTCATATTCAGAGTTTAAAAAAAGTAGCAATACAGTAGTGAAAATGCTCATATGTAGCTAAACCGAATAAGCAACTAATCCACTATTGTGAAGATTGAACTACAAGAGTGGGGAAAAGCAGACACTAGATCATGCAAGTTGCTCTTTTTACTTCAAGTTGCTTTCCCCAAACTGCCGCCTTCAAGAAACTTTCAGATTACAAATCCCATCATTCTCCAACCCATCTACAGAGCACTTCATAGATTATTGTACCTGTAACTTGCCATTTATGGATAGGAGTGAGGAATAATTTCATGCATGAACTACTTGTTTGAAAGTACCATTACTGTATATCAAAATTATATTTCAGATCAAAAACTTCGACAGATGAGCTGTCGAACAAAAGACAATAAGCTTCCTTGTGTTTAAAAGTTTTGGGGAATGTGTTTGGAAATGAATATATGATATCCAGGGTATAATTATGAGATTCAGACTGTATAAAGAGAAGTACCCTATATAGAAGTATGTACAGTACGGTACAGTATAGTATAGGTAGTCCTCAACTTACAACTATTCATTCAGTGACTGTTTGAAGTTACGAACATGATGAAGAAAGTGACTTACGACCAGTGCCTGAAGTTACGGCTGTTGCAGTGCCCCTGTGGTCACGTGATCAAAATTTGGGCGCTTGGCAGCCTGCCCGCACTTACACAGGGGTGCTTCAACTCCCCCACCTGCCAACCTCCTCCCCATTTATGCCCTCTTGGCTCCCTGCTGCCCTGCACTCTGTCACCCCAGCTGATCTACTTGCTCCAAAAAGCCCCTTTGCAAAAAGCTCGTGGGCAGTGCTGGGCTGGGGTGGACTTTTGGCTTTTTTTTTTTTGGTGTTGTGAACCAAACCCCCAGCCCGGCCCACCCCCCCCCTGGAGTTCAATGAAAAGGG